GAACAGAGAGGCGGTTCTCTARAGCAACCTTTCCTCAACTGGACTCCACTCTAGGTACCATTTAAAGCCCAATACACACATTTGTGGGTGTGCGGTTAAGGCTTCTGYGGAGTCACAGTTTTACAAAGTCTGGACTTTTGTGCTGTGCATTTTTTTCTTTGATGAATAGCATATGGTGCCAATATTATTCAGAGCCAGCCCATATAAAGCAAATAATTGGAATTAACTTTGTACATGTTTATCTAAAGACTAAAGAAAAAGAAAAACTGATGTGGTTTTCTGGTGGAAGAGAGGGTTACAACTATGCTGTTCACAGGAGAATAAAAATGCACAACAATATCTCAATGTTATATTCATCACCTTCACAGATGTGATGACTTTTCCATGCACCTGCTGCTGCTAAATTTGCCATTAAAAGAACTCAGTGGATGGTATCAAATTCTTCATCTATTAGAATAACATTGTTCAAACAAAGCAAGATATTTCACACAACATTTCTGAAGGCCTTCCTTAACCTGAAGAGATTGCACAAGCCAAAGACTGAGACTAGACAATGAATTGCTCTCAAAATTAGGATATGTCACTAATTTTGTGTATGATGCTCTTTYGTTTGCGTTTATTCTCCAGTGAATATATTGGACATTCCTCAAAATGCAGAAGTGTGGCCTGTGCACCGGGGCTGCAATACAGGACATTCCCAACAGTGCCAACCATGTCTGGTGCCTGTTCAATGTAGCCACTTGCGGGACAGCAAAATGGTTGCTAGATCATACCAGTTGCTTTTGCCCTTTAAAAACTCACTAGTTCTATGAAAAAGTTGCTCCAATTGCCTGGATGTTATCACTTAGGAAACAATACATATCTCAAAGTCCACATATGTGATAATGATTTTGAAAACGCAGCAATCACCACAACCAAAGCATTTGCATCTGCTGAAAGCACAGCTTGCTCTTTCACTGGAGTCAAAGTGGTTGGCACAGAATTCAAAGCACTGGATTGGCAACCCTATCAGGAAGCAAGTGTAGCATAAAGCTATAATATCTGTCTTCATTAGCTTTTCTTATCTAAAAAATTCCAAATGCTTTGGATAGTATAAGGTGCCACATAACTATGGAAGCTTTTGGGCAGCAGCTTGCATCTATAAAGTGTGCTTACCACCTTCTTTAACTAAATGTTTTCCCCTTTTTCCCCTAGCAGCTGTGACAATAGTGAGCCTGAACAATTACCATACAACTGAAATGCAGCTGAAGGCACTGAGTTCTCTAATACCAGTACTCTGGTAACTTTCAGAAGGACCAAAGCATCATAAGCAACTGCAGTCATTTGAGCGCTTGCTTGTTTTGCAAAAATTGTGTTGCAAAGTTTGCCAAACTAACTTTAAGCCATCGTACTGTGGAGTCTTGCACAGACACGGGTGCAATCTTGCCAGTCAGCTCAGCTCAGCAGGGTGCTGAAGCAGCTATCCTCCCTCCCATGCTGCTGCTGACACGGCAGCAGGACTCTGCCCTGCTGGTGGGGTTGACAGGCTCATGTTACTCTGCACCTGTCTTGCACTAAGGTCTACTGAAATCTCTTTTTTTTTGGCCTCCTTAGTCACCTATCACAGAAGATTCGGAGATTATGTGCAACTGCAAATGGAGCGCATGCTGAGCTGAAAGGAGGCATGGGTCACTAGCTATGAGGATGACAGAAATGCAGGCATGGTGAGAACACTTTATTTTGGAAAGGGCAAGCAAAATATCTCCATGTCCCAATGTCTGAGATTTGTTTCATATGTTACCGTATCATATTCCTTGTCATAAAATATGTCCAGACTTCATACAAGACGAAAGGCCCTCTGTTGTCATTTTCTCACAATTCTTATTGAAAGTTTGATTAGATGTTCCTCTGGCAAAGGTAATTTTTTTGTGTTCCCATCTTTCAGTGGATGCACTCAAATTCTTGCAGTGCATTAAAATAAATTTCTTCTGTCCAGCAGTTGGAGCATGAAGAATATAAGGATCCTCACCTTCAACCCATGCCTTTGTAACAGAGGCCACACACAGCAGTAAGCTTCCTAAGGATTTCTCCTCTAAAACTGAACCTGTTCTGTCCTTCCTGCTCACCTGATTTTGTTAGTGCCTCATAGGTAATAATTGCTGCTCCATTTTTCATTTTCTACAGACATTGCTTGGAATATCTTGGAGCTGAGTAAAAGGTGAAGATGGTTCTTCCTCATGGTTGTTCCTCTTCCACTCACATACTAGGGGCAGGCTGGCYATTGCCTTGCAGTGATTAGAAGAGGTTACTACATCATACGCAATCCAGCATATTCACCAGCAGAGGCGTACGGTTTGCAAGGGTACATTCTCCCTCCTCACCTGAAATATTTCATAAGGCGTTTGGAAACAAGTTTGTGCTTCTAGGGTTTGACCTTTCACAAGTGAAATAGCAGAGAGGAATCTGTCCAGACACTTTTTATTGCAACAGCCCTAGTACGACTTTCGCTGTTAATCTCTCTCCAGCTGTGACAATTTTTAGTCTTATTCCAGATAGCACAGTGGCCCTTCACTGCACAGTGGGATAAGGAAGTGACTGGTGCATGGCTCCAGCTGCCACTAGCAGCTTTCCTCCAATGTGTGCTAGATTTCTTAACCCTCTCAGAGCTAATGTGAAGCTATTTGGGGGTCATATCTACAAGAAAAATCACTCCTATGAGTCCTATAGTGCAAAATTTAGTCCTTCAAAACCTCTGATCAGTTGTTTAACTAATTCAGGGTCTCTTGAACTGTCCAAATTTGCCCCAGTGTCATGTGTTTTTTGTGTTGTTGAGCATTGACAGTGGTGAGAATTTGGGTCATGTATGGGCCACTCTTCTACCCGGATGTCCTGCCTTTTCCCACAATATCCAGGTGGAGGAGGARGGCCTTCTTCTGACATTTGCTTTGCTGGTTTCCTCAGTATTTAAGTATTTATTTGGACGCTCCAAAGAGCAGGACTGCGAGCACCCCACAGTGTAGACCYGAGTCTAATATTTGGGATATTCACCTATAAGGTGGAAGGCAATGTAGTTTCAAGTGTCCAGGAGTGCCGAGGGTTGGTGTGACTACACTGACCATTAAGCTCCCAGATATACAAGGGCATTTTTCTTCCTGTGTTGTGGGTGAAGGCTTGGGCACTGAGATTCAGTTTAGAGCTGTGAACCTTGAAGAGAGGAAGGCACATTTCTGCAGACTGGAATAAAGTATCTAAATCCCTGAAAGAGTGTAGTTTAGACATGCCCTCCACTGAGATTTCTCTTAGATAGCTTAGGGCATCCCTTCCCGACTAGGAGGCTGATTCATRTTTATCTTTCCTTAGGTGCCTGTTTCCCTTTGGGTTTTCTATACAAATGACAGAAACTCTTTCAGATAGATTTAATTGGTTGCACTGCGTAGGAAGAGATCTCACACAAAAATGAAAGATTTGACAAAGTATATTATAATGTATTCGGGGCTGACAAAATTAAACAACTAATGTAAATTTAATGTTAATTCATAGTAGTAATGCAACTTTTTTTTTTTCAGCTATTTGGAGATGGAATTGGACTTTCAGCAATCTGATAACTTGAACAAACACTARACTAGTCTTAGCCTTCCCCCTCCTTCTTTAAATAAAGCTCAACTTGTAATATGGAATGTAGATTGTTTTGACTGTTAAAACATTCCAAACTCAAAACCCACTCATCATAAATGTGTTGAAAGAAGAATATATTTCAATAGTGCGGCAGACTCTTTGAGTACAGTAGAGCAGCAGTCTTCAATCAACTAGAATTTCTTTCCAGAAACAGAAAATGAAAGCATAAGTGCCGTACACATTTTTAAATGATTTATTTAAATTCAAAGAACTAACTTTTTTTTTGTGACTGATTATAAGTGTGTATATGAATGACTATGGATAACAGGTTTCTTTTGCTTTTCAAAATGATATATAACAATGTTCCATGCAAAGACTTTCTATTTACACATCTGTTCAGCACCTGCTCATAATTACTTAGTTTTTTATTATTGAGCTTGTCACCATATTAATGTAGCTGTATACTTCAATTGATTGTAATTGCAAATTTCCTGAAAAGGCTTGGTTTCTGCAAGTATTTAATTAAACTTATATTCTAAATTAAAAATGATTATGTAACTGTACTCCACTACAATAATACATGCATGTCTCTCTCTAGGTAGAAAATATAATAATATAATATAACATAATTCATACAATGTGTAGACTAATATTGTATAATTAAACATCAGTTTTGACTAGTATAGGAGGAATAATTAACTTCCCTGTTTAGAACCTGACATATTTCATTTAAGCAAGTGATTTGTCACAAGCTACACAAATCAGCTTATYGAGGAACAAGCTAATAATGGTTAAGAAATAAAAGAATGGTTAAGAAATAAAATGGCAAAAAAAAGATAAGCCTACTCCTTGTGGCATAATTTTGCTGGAGTCAATGTTTTTTTACACAAACGCTTCCTTTACACGAAGTTGTGAGGTCATATCTAGAACAAGTCACTAACTACTAAAATCTATGTCTGTCTAATGTCTACTTGGAGGTCTGTGAAACAGCTCATAGCCTCTACCAAGCAGGTCTCTCTGACCTGCACGAATAAGTTCCACGACATGCCCTGGAAGTCCCTTTGGCATTTGGATAGACCAGGGGAGCAGCAGACCCCAGATGGAGGACAGGAGAAGCCAAATGACCACAAGTGAGTCACAGGAAGGGGGAACACACACAACTCCCCACTTTAGTAGTACGTGTGAGGGCCACATAGGAGGGCCACAGACATTAATAACCTGGAAATTGCACTTTTGTACCAGTAAGCAGCCACTAAGACATAGCTGTGGTGTATCATCAAGGTGTGCAAAGATATCCGTATAAAATTAATTTCCTTTCATGGGAGGACAGAGAGACTTTGAGAGGAAAACGTCATATTAGTGGTTTCAAATGCATTCAAAAATTCTTCACCTGAGGGATCATTCAAGTGCTACGAGTGTGAACTTTAGGAACAACAGCTCCAAATTCACTCCCTAGAAGCYTCTGCCTTTCCCTGGGCAGAGATGATCCATATGCTGCTGATCCTGCAGCCTGGATCCACATGAGCCACATCCTCAGAAGGCTGGGGCACCCACAGAGGCCAGTGCAGTCCTTTTGCAAAGCCTGGGAGGGAAAGACAGGAGAACGGATTGAAAAATAGTCGGCTTTTGGTCTGCTGCCTGTTGGATTTCTTTCAACAAACTCATCAAATTCACAGCTTTTCTACAGAACACTTAGTTTCCATGAACAAGCCTTTCTGCTGGAAAATATCCAGAAGTGCTCATGCTTATCTGCAACTAAACTGCAGAATGTGTTTTCCACAATGGCTGAGCTAATCCATTCGGAAATACTAATGCCAATGAACATATATCCACTGAATAGCAAAGTTATGATCTGCATTTTGAACTCTCRTAATTCAAAGAAAATATGAAACAGGTTTTTGATCTGATCCACCGGGGCAGTAAGAACTGAGTGTGAAATACTGCTCCAGATTCTGCTCCAAACCATTCAAAGACCAGTGGTTCCTCTTAGGATTTTCTTTGAACTCTTACCTACAGTTTTTTCAATATCCATCAGCTTCACATTTTTCAGCATGAGGCTGGGATATATAGCAAACAGGTAGGTGTGCTTTCTAGGCAATAGACATCCAGAGGATCAGCCTTGATCTGTCTCATTTTCTGAGGACGCTACTGAGGATTAAGTGACTAGAAGAAAAAAAAAAAAAAGAGTTAAAATGCTATGACCAGCATTTGACCTCAAAGAAAATGGATGCAGAAATGTATGTTTTGTATCTTTTTTTTGTCTCAATCCCTTGTGTACATCCAAAGAAAAGCTCCACTTAAACTCAGAAAGATAGATGTTTGGTGGTAAGTTCATGACCAAAGCTTCCAGGTGAGTATTGGAAACATCATTGATAAGAATGCAAAAGTTACAGTGAGGGAAGGGAAACATGTTGAGAGGATTGGCTTCCCAACACAGAGGATGTCCTTCCTTCATCTCCCTCACTGTCACGCTTCAACATTTCTCCACGTGCAACAACAAGCTGATAAGGAGCAGGAAACCCATTCTTTGCCCTGTCTGTCCATTGCCTGACTCCTTTAAATTTGACCTCTTCACATGTATGTAAGCTTGCAAATTTGTTTTGGAAGCCTAATTCTAAAACAAAATTCTAATGTCCCAAAATATATGTTGTYGGCAGCTTGCATTATTCACTTTTTTGAGAATACACTGTTCCATTTTCTTCCAGTGTTCCCCTGGGCAAATCTGGTCCAGCTTGGGAGAGGAGGAAAGGGATATATTTTACTTTTCAAACAACAACAACAACAARGTTTTGACAATGATATTTCATATATTTTGTTGCCTAACAGACTATTTGAATTTGAAAACATTTTCTTTCTTTATCTGGTGGGTGTAACTTAAAATCTTCTATCTTGAATTGAAGTGGGAACTGCTACATGTGCACGGATGATGTTTGTTCTGGCATACTCTTTTGTCCACATATTCATGTTAGGATAACTTTTCCTATTTCTGCATTGCCATATACTTGGCAGGTACAGTTATATAAACAGTAGCATAGTTAATCAATCGGATGCTGTTGGAGGGAGACTGAAGAGAGACCTTTGTTGTGCAAATCTAGTAGTGACATAAAACCCTGTGCTTCTCTTTGCCAATAAGAACTGGTTGGAAATAGAATGAATTGGAATAATAGCTGTAAATATGCTTGTGGATTACTTTTTTGATTCCACAAAGCATTTTTACTAACATCCAAATATAAGAAGTTATCAAAGTTCAAGCACAAACTTAAAATGAAGCATTTGATTAAATCCATATTCTCTTTGGGAGGCACTACCAAAAGTCTATTTTTTTCAATATAACACCTATACAGTACCAAGGGGGTTATGCTCTGTCTGAACCAAGGGGACAGAGGACTTTCTGCAAGGTCATGTAGCACTTCACCTTTATTTGAAGTAAAGATCATAGAAATATAAGGTGTCCTTCTGCAGATGAAAATGAAAGATCTACTTCTTGCCTGTTATTCCAAGTCCAAGCAACTGAGGACTGTAGATATGTCTCTTCCTGTTTTTGACTTCCATTCAGCATTGCCAGAAAAGCATGATAACTCATTGTAACCTATACTTTAGGCAGCTATCAGATCAACTAGGTACTCTTATCAGATGATTGCAAATACTGGAAACTAATGCAATGTCTTACAGAATGGATATCTCTGTGTCTCTTGGAAGTAAGTATTTGCTAAAGTAGAAGGGACTTCGGCACATACTGTGACTATAACCATGGTTCGGTTTCTCATGATCCCACAACATCTGGATCCCATTCAATAAGTTTTGTGCAATGGGGAATTGTGTAAGTTCACATTTCTACATGGTAAACTTTTTCTCTAGGTGGGAGATGATCTGGACAGGCACCTAAGATAAGAACATACTGCATTTTTACAGTATTAAAACTAAAACATCTCAATCCAAATGAGATATCATCACTGAATAGCTGCCTGTACAAGAGGAATATTCATCCCGTCCATCCATGTCAGTTCTGCTTCCTCCAACGCTTTTCTCCTCTTTCTCATCTTTTTCCCCTTGCATGGGACTGGTATCCCTCATCTGGGCTGGGGGAAAAGAAGGGAACTTTGGGGTTCACACATTCTCCTTCTCTTTCTTGGCCAGGTATTACAGAAAAGATGATGGGAAAGGGAATGCTCCATGGCTTACCTCTAGCCATAAAAGATGAAAAACATGTTCTAAGTGAGATTTCCATTTCAAGGAATATGGCAGTGGGTAGTAGAGGGGAGGGGAAAAGCCTGCTGCTGCCTGTAGTCTCTTCCAGAGGCTGTGCCACAAGATGTGGTTAGGAACAGGTAGTCAGGAAGAGTCCACTCTGTCATCCAACATATATCCCTCAGGGTTACTCCGAAACAAAGATTTAAAGTACCATCAGGGTCAGTCAGAGACTCTATTCTGCTTTGGTCTTATAAAAATGGAATTGTGCCAGTTCTCCTTAGCTTTGAACAGAAACAGCCTCTTCCTTGGCCTCCCTCTTTTACAAAAAGAGCCAAAGGTGGCTCTGAATCAGRCTGCAGTAATCACAGGTGCAGTAATGAGCACCTCCTTCCAGCACTCCTACTTCCTTTTTGCAGATGAGTAATATATGGCTACTCATTAGATCAAATACACACACACATCTATCTCCTCTGACAGAAATAATCTCTTACAAAAGACTCATGCATTTACTATTTGGATGTCACCAATGTATTGTATAGGTATAGTTACAATATAAAATGAAGGGCTCATATATTCAAACCTATCCACCTCTGCCTAGTCCAGATATCTGGATACAGATAATATAATTCCACTTTTACTGTTCCCAACTCAATGATTGGTTGGAAACCAACCTGAGCCCAGTGCCAAAAGAGCAATCTCAAAGCTTTCCCCAGTTGTTTGAAATTGTYCATGGTCCCAGGAAGTAGTTTTGGCTCCTGGACATTCCTAGGCTGTGCTAGAACTTTTTGGAGGGCATCTTGTCCCAGGCACAGAGCCCCATTGAGCTAGTTACGCTCAGTTGGGGCCCCGTTCATGCCTTTCTCACTGAGGCATGAGAAGTGAGAATGTAGTGAGAATGAAAGCCTCACTTTCTTTTTCCTTTTTTTTTTTTTTTTTTTTTAAATATTGTGATATAATGTATCAGAAGCCAAAGGGAAATTGGGTTAATTTTTTGCTTTTTGATGAATAGTTGTCCTTTATTTAATATAAGAACCTGTCAGCACACTATAGATTTCATGAGTATCTGAGTGTCCGGTTGTATGTATGTTTGAATGTGTTGGATTAAGGATACAACTCTTTAGACGCAAGGAGTGGAAGAGACTGGGRCTATGTGTCTCAGATCTTGGCAAGTCATCTTCCCCTTTTCTATACTTTATACCTGGAAACCCAGTGAGAGCGTAATTGAAATTAATGGAGAAATAAAAAGCTGAGGAAAAGCAAGGAAGTGTAAAAATAGAAATGCTAACACTAGAAAATATTAGATCTCCATGAATGTTCTTGGAATACACTTTTGCAAAAGAGCAAATCAAAACATTACTTTGGGACTTGCCAAACTCTTTAGAGTGCAATATATTAAAAAGTTTGTGATTCTGCAATAAAGTAACGAGTCTTACTTGACTTTTGCCTTTCTGCAGTGCTGAAATCAGTATCCTATAAATAATCTGGCTTTCTCCCATTCATCTCTTACTTCAATCGTCTCCAAAACAGGAACCACATGGCTAATGTTCAAAGGAAGTGATGGAGGAACAGAGGTCCTCAGCACTATGGTACCTACTAATGGCCCTTCCTACAGCTGTTGCACTTGGCATCTTCGTTCAATTTAGTTCAGTGTGGGCAGAAGAAGCTTAGAGATTTTTCCATGAGGTTGTGAATGTTTGGTGAGGAATCTGCTTAAAAACAGATTGTGCAATATGGCTCTAATTGCATTTTAATTCCTCCCTGAGTCATGATACCCATAAAGTGAAAAAAGAAAAACAAAAGCTAACTTAAAAAAAATAAAAAAGGTCGTCAACTTCAAATTCTGCAGTTCACTCTTCATAAATATTTCATTAAGGAATGGAGTCACTATTGGACAAAGTAAAGGAGTGCCTTAACTCTCTATTTCTACAACTTAACTTGGCTGTTTTCTTACATTGTCTTTTTTCTTTTTATTTTTATTTTTTTTTTTTTTTTAGGATAGCTGCAAGTCCCTGACAATTTGTACTCTTCAGTTACTGATACATATTCTTCAGCTGAAGGCAGAAGAGCAGAGTTTAGGCTAGGGAATACTTAGTGAGACAGCTTGTCAGAATTTTTGGAAAAAATAATTYTAAGAACTTTGTTTCTTAATGTAAGTCTAAAATCTTTACATAAATAGGGGTTTAAATTAATGAARTCTACCCAACCTATGGCTAAGTGAGCAATACACTGTCAGTAAACTATCTCTAGTAAATTAAAGAGAAAAAAATCCTGCTATGTTATTGCAAGAGTGTGCTAAGGGCTCTGAAGAGAGTGTAGAACATTAATATTTCCTATCACAATATACCTCTGGAGCCCAACTTAACAACTAGTCAAATTCCACTTTAATTGCTCTCTTGAGTGGTCTGGGGTGCTGGGCTAACAACATGGCAGCAAGGTAACTATTATTCTAGCTTCATCCTGAGGTGCCTGGCTTTTCTGTACATTATTCCAGTGGAATAAGATACCTAAATGCTTTTAACAATATTGCATGATAGGCTGGGTGTACACTTTGCTGAGAAAGTGCATTGTCCTCATGTCCTCCCAGATGCGCCAGACGAAGTCCAAATCTCGGCTGGGTACCACAAGCACACTTCTGTCCTTCCTCAAGCTCTGCTGGTGCCCAGACTCTGCCACGGATAGGCAAAATCCTTCCCTTCAGGAGAGACCAAGGATATGATTGTGAAGATATTTCAAACAAAAATTAACATTAGATTTTCTGAAAGTCTGCAATTTCACATAAGTAAACAGAGGTGTTTGAAGCTAATTGCAATGCACTCATAAACTGCTTAGAAACACCTTTGTATTTACACAAATGAATCTTTCAAAGCTGCATATTGAGAGCCTATAAACTGCTAACTATGAACTTGGATACCATTATATGCCAAATGATTTCAATGTT